CTACAAGAATGCATGAATACTTCACGCATTGCGCCAAAGACAGTGCGGTCAGCGTGAAACGCTTAGCGCCTACAAGACTGCGTGAATACTTCACGCATTGCGTCAAACACAGTGCAGTCTGCGCGCCGCGGCGGAAGTTAAAATCATTAAACTACATCTATGTTTGTTCTTTCATAATTTGTTCGTTCATTTCTTATGAATGGAAAGCCTTGACTACACAGAGATAGGTTTACGGAACTTAACTTTCGAAGTTCCGTGAACTTTTGCTGGTAGTGTTAACAGGGCTGTCCCAAAAAATATGTCCAACACGAGTAAACGACTCTTATGCACCCCTCCCCCGCTGGCACGCTTACTTGATGGTTTTTAATGGTATCTCAAAACGAAGAAGCAGGGGGCGGCAAAATGCAGGCGGCCCATGGGCGGCAAGTAGGTAAATCCGGCCCTGTTGGAGGAAAGGCAGCTCTCGAATGTTGATGCGGCGGTGTTCCTTCGCACGGCAGTGTAGAACACCCGCCTGAGTCCTAACTTCTGTTCATAACCGTCGCTATAATTCAGGAAATACGGCTATTTACCCCCAAACTTCGTAGCTCCGGAAGGGACATTTTTAGGGATGAATTTACTAAGGGGAAAACCCCTATTTTGACCCATAGAGCACTATCCTGCAGTCTGTTCATAACCGTTGCCAAAATTCAGAAAAAAATAGTGATTCACACAGAAATTTGAGGACCGCAGCCTAGCTTCCACGGCAGGCTAATTGGACTACATTTTGCAATTAGGAACTATGAATTCCAGCTCCGCTTAAAAACAACGTATGTGCCATTAGTGTCCCTATTCACGTAAGTGTTTTTTCAGATGAGACAAAATTTATAGCTCCAAATTTCAAAATGCAGTCCAATTGTCTAACTGGATAGACAAAGCTATGAATGCAGAAGACGACGGGAAAATGGAGCGATCCATTAGCCTGTGTCACACTATCAAAGCTAGCCATCAAAATATCAAGGGCAGGTGTTGTGATTGGCTTATTCGATGACTTGGACCAATTACAGGACGTGACCTTGACATTTTGATGGAGTATTTTGATAGTGTGACGCAGGCCTATCGGTGAAAGCGGGTGCTTGCAGTGGATGAAGGGGGCAAGGAATAAGTAACTGTTGGTAGCCCGCAGGAGCACAGTAAGTCCATCCGTCCCCCAAGACTACAACAACCACCCGCTTGAACCAATAGGATTGTTCCATTTTCCCCTAACTTTTTTGTCTGTAGATTCCAATAATTAGCCCTCAGGGGGCAGTGGGGAATTTCCCGACGGGCGTGGATCCACAAATTGAGTGTGGATTCAGCCCATGTCTGGGATGGCTCCCGCAGCTGCCGCTGCCCAACAAATGGACTACATTTTGCAATTTTGAACTATAAATTCTAGCCTGGTTTCAAAACAACCTATGTGCCTTTGGTTTCCCTATGCACATTCGTGTTTTTCCGGAAGAGCCAGAATTTATAGTTCCAAATTGCAAAATGCAGTCCAAATGACACATGACCTCATCAAGGTTTTGGATTTTTGGCCGGCCGGGCGGCGGGCACTCGGCTCTCGATTTGTTATCGTTCAGGTACTAACGACTCGTAACTCGTTTAGGTGGTTTAGGTGGACCCTCCCCTGGCATTTTGGCGACAACAGGTAGAAACTTTTACTTTCCAGGATTTAACACTTTCTTACGGGCAATGGGCCTGTCGCAAACTTCTGCCAGAGCAAAAATAAGAGTCGATGCTCAAAGAAAGTGTCAAAAATCACGATAAGCGCATCGGCAAAGGCTCAAATGCACTCCATACTTCACAATCTGCGTAAGAAATTTACGTTTTTTTAAGCGTATCGCTTCAAAAACGATACTACGGCACAGGTAAACATTTCATCAGAGGGGTCGTTCCTTCCAACCTCGGTGCAGTAGGATATTGCTCAATATTCAACATGGCCAACGCCAATCCGCCAAAACTGGCCGAAACTCATGTGCCGGGACGAAATTCTAGCCATTTTTCAACAACCTGGCGTGTTAACATTCACGTTTTCCTCGCGTTGATAAAGATCCGGCTTAACAGCGTCGGTCATTTTGGGTCAAGACCAATCCACACAGGTCAGTCATTGCGCATCTTTTTGAAAGCCACTTCCCCGCCCGGCCCTAACTCAGCTGCACTCAATAGTACGTCACAATGGGTGCTCCCATAAGAAATACATTGCAAGCACTCAATAGTACGTCACTGCGCAGTAGCGTACCAAAACTCGTCCACGGGAATGACTGACCTGTGTGGATTGGTCTTGTTTTGGGTACTGCAAAACATTCTTGTAGGCAGGAACGACTCCTCTAACGAAACGTTCACCTGTGCCGTAGTATCGTTTTTGAAGCGGGAAGCTCAAAAAATCGTGCATTTCTTACGTTGATTGTGACGTCAAGAATGCATCTCAAGCTTTGTCAATGCGCTCACCGTGATTTTTGAGTCATTTACCATAAGAAACCACTCGTATGTTTGCGCTAGCAAAAGTTTGCAACAGGCCCCCTACCTACTAGGTGGATGGTAAGCTCCGAGTGACCTAACTAGCCGAAGAAGTTTTCCAAACTATGGTATGTTTGCGAAACGAAATACTCAACACCTTGCTCAACATCCACCCAGCAGGTAAGTCAACAGTTGAATGTTGAAGCCCCCCTTGTCTGTCTCGTTAACATTCTACGCTGACGTCAGAATGACGTTCGGGCAATCGACCGCCGCCTCTTTCTATTATTTTCTCTATGACCCCCGAGAAGGGCTCGCTCGGCCGCGTCGGGGCTTGTGGCCGCCGGNGGGGGGGGGGGGGGGGCGTCCGAACGCCAAAACGGGCGTGGACGTTGAACTCGGTTCCGGCGACCGGCGACCGGCGAGCCCCTGTGCGGCGACCGGGCCGGCCATACAGGTGCGCGCAGGTATCTCGACTCAAGAAGGCCTCGCGGGGACCGGAATCGTTGTCCGCGTCCGGCCAGTC